AATTAGCTTTCATTTGATTCAACGCATTCATCAGTTCCTCCTGGTGGAAACAAAACAGGTTACACACATGATAAAACATGCTGTCAAGCAACATGGCCTCTTTGAAAGCCAGCAATTTTTTTTTTTTTAATTGGAAACATTTTTTTTATTGTTTTAGCAACAAGTAGATTATTTGGCGTTCAAAGCATTAACAACCCAACATAACAGTAAGAATGACAAAATCAGTATATGCTAAAATTGAACACTGAGTTTTGAACAGGATTTGGTTGGCATGCAGGTATTAGAGTAAAGCACATGCATAATGAGGGGTAAGTAATGGTGTGTTGTTTGTTGTGGGTATAATTTGGGCTTACCTCCTAGATAGACAGGAAACAGGGTAGAATTGGACAGGAACATACAGGGTAGAGAACACAATACAAATTGAAATAGTAGAAAAGATAGAAAAAAAGAAACAGAATATAAAGGTAAGTGGGTAAGTTATTATTTTATTTTTCTAATAAAAGAAATATGAATAAGTGATGAAATCATGAATTGAATGGTCTGATGCACTGAATATGTGATGTTGTTGTTTTCAAAATCCTTTACATTGCCAGAAGGCCACTAGAAACGAATTTGTTGTGGCTGTCCATGACTACCTGACACAAGATCACCATACATTGATTTTTTGACAGTATTTCACATGAAATGAAAAGGCTGCATACATTATGGAATCCGTGATAGCAATGACTGCAATGGCATGATTCAAATATCATATTTTCACTATTAAAAATAGCATCTCAAGCACAAGCGCACACAAAAACTAAAAATTGATTTCATTGTATGCTGGATCATCGAAGTATAATTTATTTTGATTTTAGACACACCTCAGTCATTTACGTGAATGCACACACTACTAATAGAGTAGATAAAGCAAACCCGGAGGATCAATGTGCCCATAATCACGTACGCTGTAAACACACCCAGCAAACAAGTAAGCTATGATGCATTCTGTCACCAGCTGCCAGTGCATACATTGTATATGTTGCAAAACTGAGTCACTGAAGCTTAGTTTATGTAACACATGGATTTATAAATAATTCGCTCACACTGTAGAGCCGGGTGTAGTTACCGTTTATATGTAACTACATGAACACCTTCATTGCCAACTACGAGGCAAGTAGAAAGCCTCCATGAATAACCAGCATGAATGGTATATAACGCCGTTAGCAGGCGGTGTTAAATGACATTTGATAGATAAACTAAATGAATATTTCTTTTTTTTTACATTACATCTAAGCACGAGAAAAAAAAATTAGAAAAAATTGTGCAGCAAATTGTCTGGGTTTAACAGTATTACTAGCATATTACACACGCATACCTTTTCTTCTGCTCTTGCCTCACACTCTCTTTCGACTTTTTCCAACTGAGCCCTCATTTCCTCTCGTTCTGCATAAAGGCAAATATAGGAGTAAGTTGCAGTATTATGATAACAGTATACATCAGAATACATATTTTTATTTATATCACTGAAAAACTAAAATCAATGAAAGTAAAATTTAGAAAAAATTATTATTTTTCCTGTTTTTAGTTTTGCATGTAATTTTATTTTTTGATAAATCAGTGAGTCAACTTAAATTTGCGGTTTTCAGTAAAAATAAGTTCAGTATAAAAATCAAGGTATCTACAGTAAACTGGAAAGCTTTATTGCACGTATAATACATGTATGATTGCTTACAGATTTTATAAAAAAATTGGATAAATTGGATAATAGGTTACTTAAGAAACATTTTTACATCGCGGGTATATGAAGTTTGATGACAAAAGTTTTTCATTTACTGAACTGGAAATTTTCTCTTGGCACATAAAATTAACAAATTTGTTTTATTAATTGACCTTTTTCGAATTCTTCACTTTGTTTTTTCAATACTTCATCCTCATTGGCCATTCGTTCCATCAACTGGTTC